CCCCCCCCCCTTGAAGAGGTAACCACTGATAGTGTTGAAGAATAACAGGACTCCTGTTATACTCTTCTTGATAGCCAAGAATTCTATTCACTTTATTGCAAACACTACACTATTGTTTTGGCTTTAGATTACTGCTAACCAGAACTCCTAAACCTTTTCCACATTCAGTGTGATTAAGATCTACAATATTTAGTTTACAAGTGCCATGGTTATTTTCTTTTTCAAGGTTTAGAATTCTGCATTTGCATATATTAAAGTGCAGCAGCCACTTCTCCAACCACTGCATCAGTCTACTTAGATCTTTCTATAGCGCTCTAGTGTCCTCATCAGAATGAATCCAATGGCCTATTTTGGCCACATTAGCAAACTTAATTATTTATTCCCACATTTATAAAGAACACAAAGGTATGATACACAAATAACCCATACATAGGAAGAAAACTTTATGACGTCGTTGCCAAAGTTTCTTTCACCTATGTGCTGGTTATTTTTATGTGTGTATAGTATCCCTAATCTATGTCGTTTATGTATGTTGTGCCAAATATGTAAAACTGGTGAATTAGCAAGAACTCATTTAAAATTAAGTCCTTTCTAAAATTTTCTCTTATACGTTTAAAGATATATTTTTTTCATTAATGTTAATATAAAAATTTTTAATTTTGCTCCAAAAGAATCTTAGAAAACTTACCTAACCTTATTATAACAAGAACAATTTATTTTAGCCTAACCCAACTAAATATATTTTAGATTTGTTTACAATAATTTAATACTAAACAAACACAGTGAAATGTATTTTTTTCGTTAGGTTCAGAATGATTTTGGCAAAATTATTGCATACACAAATTTTCGCTTGTCCTATATGGCAAGATGAGCGTTGTTATTTAAGCCAAGATCGCAAGTTCTGCCTATTCAGCATGACATGTATATTGTTAACAAAGGAGTCAACATTGACACCTGTGGAAGACCACTTGTAACCCATCCTCACTCTGATTTCTCCTGATTTATGGCAAACTTGCCGATCTGTCAACCATGCCTTTATCCAGGAAAAAAATTTCCCTTCTATTCTGTGTGCCTATTTTCTCATCAATCTCAGATGTGGAAACTGTTTCACAACACAATCTTCCATTTGTTCAATGACACCAAAACCTAGTGATCATACCGCCATGACCTGGTCCGAGACCTGGTCTGAGACCAGGTCCGAGACCAGGTCATGGAGATGTGGAAATAACTGAAGAATTAAGAAATATCATGGTTAAAATGGATTAAGATTTATAGTCACAGTAAAACCTCTTAACAGACTAATAGGGAAGAGAGGGTGCACGATAATGCCAATTGTCCGCAACTCCCAAATTATGAAATTAATATTTCGCTAGCGTCCAGGTTGTCTTCTGTATAATGGACTTGGCTCCCCAATGCAGAAGACAACCAGACACTCAGAACAGAGGTACTGTAACCTGTTGTACTACATTACAGTCTAGTACTTTTATAGTACTCTACATAATTACAGTAATTTAACTTACTTCTTTGGGGTAATGAGGTGTAAACTGCTGTAATCAATATTGATGACTTAGAATAACTTATTCTGTGCCAGAGGAGTTGTAAAGGTTACCAGAGAAAATAATGAAGATGGCTGAGAACCACACATTTTCTCTTGGACCACCACTTGTTTTAGAAGCCAGCGTTAATTGCACTTAATATACGGGCATATCTCATTAATACAGCACTCGCTTTGGAGCTAACGTGGGGCTTTTCACTTGTATTCACGTTTATTTTCAGCACTTGCCTTGCTCTTAAAATGGTTTTTGGCAATTTTCAAAAACATTTTATTTTTACTTTTTTTATGCTTTTAAATGCACTAACAAGTGAAAAAATGCTGATTTGCTTTATGGCAGCAGTCTGGAACCTAACATGTTATATTAGTGGGGTATACCTGTATTAATAAATCCAGGAAAAATTATTAGACTGGATGATGAGCAAAAGCACAAGCGAGCACAAACATGTGTAGATGGCCTACAGCTCAGGGAACAATGAAAACAGACAGACCTTTGGTGTGGTCACTTTAGCCCATACCAGACAAGTATGAGAACTAGTGGCATTGGCCCAATGCTTAAGACAAGACACTATGGCTATGGACACTGGAACTCCAGAATTTTGTTCAGTTTGTCTGAAATTTGCCGAAATCCATTAACAAGAGGTCATTGTTAACCCTTTAAGTGGGGGTTCTGTTTTATGGCTTTGAAGCTCTGGTTGGTCCCATAGTTCAATCCCATGAGCTCAGCTCACTCAGATAGGCTGTGAGCAGTAAATTTGGGCCTAGATATGACTATGCCACAAAAAAAAAAAAATCCTTCAGCAAGCAATGCATAGTGGGGTAAAACCAACCATTTCTGGTTTAAAACAGCGAATTTATGGTGTATTTTTGCATGGTTTTTATGGTTGTATTCTAGGTTTTGTGGTCTTATTTGACAGAATGAAGATATATTACAGAAAGAGATGATTTTGATTGGTTTCAGAAAGGAAAAAAAAGCTTGAAACTGAGCTCAAAGTAACAGGAATGTTCGATTTTTGCCAATATTCCAGAGTACACAAATACGTGTATCTGTCCAGTCTAATATGCTCTTAAGAATGCACTGACATTTATAAAACTATTACAATGATGGACTAGTCTGCATAACAGTAAATTTTCTATATCTTGTGTGAATAAAAATTTGAAATGGAATTATGTGTAATATTGGAGAGGCCTGGAGACATAACTAATGAACAGAGGAAATGTTATATTAGTGCCAGGAATATCTGCATTGCTTATTCTGGACCCTATTTTGAAGTTGGCATTCCTTGAATTTTGTCTGAAATTGGCCAAATTACCAATTTCTGATAACTTTACTGGGTAGTTGAAATAGTTAAATGGGCAGTTTCTTGTATTCAATTGATAGAATGGAAGGTATACTAGTAAAATAGCTAAGAATCTGGTCGACTGGAATAATGTAACTGGCTTAACATCAGACTCAAAGTGGGCAAAACTGCTGATGCGTAAATATCGCTCTCACGGCAAAATTCACAAAAGTGTAATTTCGTTAGGGTTTCCATCAAATCTGGTATTTTTTTTGTTTTATTACCTTCAGAAAAAGATTCTCTACCATTTCACAAGATTTTTTGTTTTTAATTTTCCAACCCTGAGAGCAAGTTTGAGGAGCAGGGGTTCTAACCCTCGAAGGGGTAACAGTAATTTGCACTATACAGTGGACCCCTGGTTAACGATATTTTTTCACTCCAGAAGTATGTTCAGGTGCCAGTACTGACCGAATTTGTTCCCATAAGGAATATTGTGAAGTAGATTAGTCCATTTCAGACCCCCAAACATACACATACAAACGCACTTACATAAATACACTTACATAATTGGTCACATTCGGAGGTAATCATTATGCGGGGGTCCACTGTACTGTGACAATTTTACTATTGTAGTGTACCTCATTACTTTAGTACCCTCTCCAGTTGGCCACCTCACTGCTCAATGTCAATACGAAATGCAGTGATGAACATTTTGTGTAATATTTTAACCATCCCTTAACCCTTAAACGGTCCAAGTGCATACATGTATATACTTTCACTCGTGCAGTGCCCCAAATATTTTGGAAAAAAAAAAAAAAAAAATTATAGAAAAAAGAACACATTTTTTAACACGTTTTAGAATAAAAAAAAACCAGGGTCAGTACTTACTGAGATATGAGGCCGAGAAGTTGGCACTGGATGCTCATGTGACAGCAACATCGAGTCCTGCCGCTTGCAGAAGTGTTGCCGATATACCTTTTTTCTATTTTTCATGTTTTATGTAATTTTTATGTTCTGATAATTACAATCTGTAGTAGTTCTTATAATTTTATAACCAATCTTTGTTCTGACACTAGTATTAAGTACTGAAATTGTACTCAAATTGTCACAAACACACTGGCAGGTGGACATTTACACCTGCCTTAGCCATTTACTATTGTCTTGGAATATATACAAAGTATTTATATGTCCCAGCAATGTTTTGGATATGTGGAAGTATATAATAACAATGAGGAGGAGGAGAAGGAGAAGAAGGAGGAGGAGGAGGAGGAGAAAGACGAAGAGGAGGAGGAGAAAGACGAAGAGGAAGAGGAAGAGAAGGAGGAGGAGGAAAAGAAAGGGAAGAATAATAGATAATAAGAAGTTCCCTTGAAGCATGAAAAACAAAGTCCACCCCTGACAGTGACATGATAAGATGAGATAACATCTGATAAGAGTGACGTTTGACGAGCATACAGGAGGGTGGGGAAGGGTGCAGCAGATAAAAGATTAGAGGTGATATTTGATGAGCATCGCCCTCACTTTGTTTTTGCTGGTACACAAACACGTCTGTCTGTATTTGTCTGTTTCTCAAGCTCCCTGTCTATCCATCTAGCTCTGTCTCAGAGCGCCACAAGACTGCATCATCACCTTTACTCATATCTTCAAGCAGAGTATAGCACTGTCTGGATTTTTTTGGGTTATCCTAGGTAATTTACACTATGTATACTTGTATTTGTGTGTACCTGCGAGACAGATAGATTGAAAGAGATACAGAGAGACACAGATAGAGAAAGAGAGGTAGACAGAGATAGACCCTAAACTTAGGTCTGTCACTTTCCTCTTAAAAGAAGTGTGTTAATATGACATTACATCAGTGAATCCTTGGTGTTTGCCGCATTGTTTGCTCTAGCTGGTGCTCAATTTAACTGACGCTCCCACAAGGTACTAAGTGGTCCCAGTTTTTTTTTTTTTTACCGCGCACACCGAGTGTTAAGACCCATTCTATGCTGACAAGGCATCTCAGGCCATTCATGCCAAATTTGAAGGCAGGAAAAATAAAATGTACATATATGTTTGGGGCGCTACGCTCAAGAACGTATATATACGTTTGGACCGTTTAAGGGTTAAATCCCAAATACATGAACAAATATCTATAAAATGGAAAACATTAAAATGTGCAAGCTTACCAGACAACCCTGTGAAGGAGAACATTCCAATTTGGGCAGTGATGTGGTCCCAAGTGCCTGGTGTACCCAACTTCTCTAGACGTTCCCTGAGACCTTTGCGCATTTCTATAATGCGCCCACTCATCGTCTTTATGCAGCCTTTCCTGTGAAGTAAAGGATGATTAAGAACCCTTATGGGTGGGTACCTTTAATCTGGGCTTTATCCAAGGAATTTTAGTTAACTTCCCCTTCCTTGGATCAAGCCTGATTACCTCCCGTTTCCCAGGTGCTGTATGACCCCTTGTAGGTTTAGTGTTTCCCAATAAATAAAATAAAAATCTGGGTGATCATTTAACCCCTTCACAATTTTTAAAACCTTTAACAAGTCAAAGTTTTCCCAGATGCCTCTCAAAATGTTTAGCACACTTACAGCAAAAATTTATTTAATACAAATAATGGAGAAATGTTGACAATTTGGGGGTTCTACAGTGGACCCGAGTTATGAGAGCCCCGTGCTTCGTGAATTTCGACTTTTGGCAAATTTTTGTCAAAATATAGCCTCGCGATTTGCCTCAAAATTCGGTGGTCATACGGAATGCGTCGGAGTAGCCTCCCAGCAGCCGTGCACACAAAGGCTCCCACACACCATTCAGAGTCAGTGTGGCACTGTTTCTGGGAGAGTGACAATCACCCTGCGCTTTCATACGATACATTTCATAATAATTCATTCTTTTTCGTGCTTGCAACTGCTAAATAAGCCACCATGGGCCCGAAGAAAGATTCTAGTGCCAGGCCTTTACTAAAGAAGGTGAGAAACACTACAGTTAAAGAAATCGCAAAATATGAAAGGAGTGAATGTGGCCAACCTCAGTAGGATGTACGGGAAGCCCCCATTCAACTATCATTTCTATCGTGGCAAAGAAATAGGAAATCAAGAAAGCTGTTGTTGTCAAAGGGGTAGATATGCTCACAAAAGAGATCGCAAATAATCGAAGATGTTGAGAATTTGTGGTTAGTGTGGATCAACTGAAAACAGTTAGCAGGAGATAGTGTTATGCAGTCGATAATGTGTGAAAACGCAAGCAGCTGCATGCCAATCTCGAAGAAAATGACAGGAACAAGTGCTGATGTTAGTGAATTTAAGGCCAGCAAAGGCTGGTTTGACAGATTTAAGAAGCATAATGGCATACACAGTGTGGTAAGGCATGGCGAGGCTGAAAGTTGACAACTGTGTCGCTGAAAAATTCATGCATGAAGTCAAGGTGCATGTATAGGATGAAGGATTCCTCCCCAAACAAGTGTTCAATTGTGATGAAACAGGCCTCTTTTGGAAGAAAATGCCAAAGAGGACCTACATCACACAAAAGGAAAAGGCACTCCCAGGACAAGCCTATGAAAGACAGGCTAACTCTTATTTTTTTTTTTTTTTATTATCACACCGGCCGATTCCCACCAAGGCAGGGTGGCCCGAAAAAGAAAAACTTTCACCATCATTCACTCCATCACTGTCTTGCCAGAAGGGTGCTTTACACTACAGTTTTTAAACTGCAACATTAACACCCCTCCTTCAGAGTGCAGGCACTGTACTTCCCATCTCCAGGACTCAAGTCCGGCCTGCCGGTTTCCCTGAATCCCTTCATAAATGTTACTTTGCTCACACTCCAACAGCACGTCAAGTATTAAAAACCATTTGTCTCCATTCACTCCTATCAAACACGCTCACGCATGCCTGCTGGAAGTCCAAGCCCCTCGCACACAAAACCTCCTTTACCCCCTCCCTCCAACCCTTCCTAGGCCGACCCCTACCCCGCCTTCCTTCCACTACAGACTGATACACTCTTGAAGTCATTCTGTTTCGCTCCATTCTCTCTACATGTCCGAACCACCTCAACAACCCTTCCTCAGCCCTCTGGACAACAGTTTTGGTAATCCCGCACCTCCTCCTAACTTCCAAACTACGAATTCTGCATTATATTCACACCACACATTGCCCTCAGACATGACATCTCCACTGCCTCCAGCCTTCTCCTCGCTGCAACATTCATCACCCACGCTTCACACCCATATAAGAGCGTTGGTAAAACTATACTCTCATACATTCCCCTCTTTGCCTCCAAGGACAAAGTTCTTTGTCTCCACAGACTCCTAAGTGCACCACTCACTCTTTTTCCCTCATCAATTCTATGATTCACCTCATCTTTCATAGACCCATCCGCTGACACGTCCACTCCCAAATATCTGAATACGTTCACCTCCTCCATACTCTCTCCCTCCAATCTGATATTCAATCTTTCATCACCTAATCTTTTTGTTATCCTCATAACCTTACTCTTTCCTGTATTCACCTTTAATTTTCTTCTTTTGCACACCCTACCAAATTCATCCACCAATCTCTGCAACTTCTCTTCAGAATCTCCCAAGAGCACAGTGTCATCAGCAAAGAGCAGCTGTGACAACTCCCACTTTGTGTGTGATTCTTTATCTTTTAACTCCACGCCTCTTGCCAAGACCCTCGCATTTACTTCTCTTACAACCCCATCTATAAATATATTAAACAACCACGGTGACATCACACATCCTTGTCTAAGGCCTACTTTTACTGGGAAAAAATTCCCCTCTTTCCTACATACTCTAACTTGAGCCTCACTATCCTCGTAAAAACTCTTCACTGCTTTCAGTAACCTACCTCCTACACCATACACTTGCAACATCTGCCACATTGCCCCCCTATCCACCCTGTCATACGCCTTTTCCAAATCCATAAATGCCACAAAGACCTCTTTAGCCTTATCTAAATACTGTTCACTTATATGTTTCACTGTAAACACCTGGTCCACACACCCCCTACCTTTCCTAAAGCCTCCTTGTTCATCTGCTATCCTATTCTCCGTCTTACTCTTAATTCTTTCAATTATAACTCTACCATACACTTTACCAGGTACACTCAACAGACTTCTCCCCCTATAATTTTTGCACTCTCTTTTATCCCCTTTGCCTTTATACAAAGGAACTATGCATGCTCTCTGCCAATCCCTAGGTACCTTACCCTCTTCCATACATTTATTAAATAATTGCACCAACCACTCCAAAACTATATCCCCACCTGCTTTTAACATTTCTATCTTTATCCCATCAATCCCGGCTGCCTTACCCCCTTTCATTTTACCTACTGCCTCACGAACTTCCCCCACACTCACAACTGACTCTTCCTCACTCCTACAAGATGTTATTCCTCCTTGCCCTATACACGAAATCACAGCTTCCCTATCTTCATCAACATTTAACAATTCCTCAAAATATTCCTTCCATCTTCCCAATACCTCTAACTCTCCATTTAATAACTCTCCTCTCCTATTTTTAACTGACAAATCCATTTGTTCTCTAGGCTTTCTTAACTTGTTAATCTCACTCCAAAACTTTTTCTTATTTTCAACAAAATTTGTTGATAACATCTCACCCACTCTCTCATTTGCTCTCTTTTTACATTGCTTCACCACTCTCTTAACTTCTCTCTTTTTCTCCATATACTCTTCCCTCCTTGCATCACTTCTACTTGTAAAAACTTCTCATATGCTAACTTTTCTCCCTTACTACTTCTTTACATCATCATTCCACCAATCGCTCCTCTTCCCTCCTGCACCCACTTTCCTGTAACCACAAACTTCTGCTGAACACTCTAACACTACATTTTTAAACCTACCCCATACCTCTTCGACCCCATTGCCTATGCTCTCATTAGCCCATCTATCCTCCAATAGCTGTTTATATCTTACCCTAACTGCCTCCTCTTTTAGTTTATAAACCTTTACCTCTCTCTTCCCTGATGCTTCTATTCTCCTTGTATCCCATCTACCTTTTACTCTCAGTGTAGCTACAACTAGAAAGTGATCTGATATATCTGTGGCCCCTCTATAAACATGTACATCCTGAAGTCTACTCAACAGTCTTTTATCTACCAATACATAATCCAACAAACTACTGTCATTTCGCCCTACATCATATCGTGTATACTTTTTTATCCTCTTTTTCTTAAAATATGTATTACCTATAACTAAACCCCTTTCTATACAAAGTTCAATCAAAGGGTTTCCCATTATCATTTACACCGGCACCCCAAACTTACCTCCCACACCCTCTCTAAAAGTTTCTCCTACTTTAGCATTCAAGTCCCCTACCACAATTACTCTCTCACTTGGTTCAAAGGCTCCTATACATTCACTTAACATCTCCCAAAATCTCTCTCTCTCCTCTGCATTCCTCTCTTCTCCAGGTGGGATACACGCTTATTATGACCCACTTCTCGCATCCAACCTTTACTTTAATCCACATAATTCTTGAATTTACACATTCATATTTCTTTTCTCCTTCCATAACGGTCATTTAACATTACTGCTACCCTTCCTTTGCTCAACTCTCTCAGATACTCCAGATTTAATCCCATTTATTTCCCCCCACTGAAACTCTCCTACCCCCTTCAGCTTTGTTTCGCTTAGGGCCAGGACATCCAACTTCTTTTCATTCATAACATCAGCAATCATCTGTTTCTTGTCATCCGCACTACATCCACGCACATTTAAGCAACCCAGTTTTATAAAGTTTTTCTTCTTCTCTTTTTTAGTAATTGTATACAGGAGAAGGGGTAATGCTAGTGGGGATTTCAAAGTGAAACCTTTATTGGTGTATCACTCTGAAAAATCCCAGTGTTCGAGAAAAACAGTGTCGCCAAGAGTAAATTGTGTGCGATGTGGAAGGCTAAGTAAGGCATGGGTCACAAGGGAAATTTTCCTTGATTGGTTCACTGAAGCGTTTGGCCCGAGTATGAAGGAATACCTCCTGGAAAAAAACTGCCACTTAAGTGCCTTCTGGTAATGGACAATGCTCCTTCTCATCCTCCAGACTTGGAAGACCAATCGTTTGAGGAGTTTAGTTTCATCACAGTGAAGTTCTTGCCCCCATAATACCACCCCTCTTATCCAGCCCATGGACCAGCAGATCATTGCAAACTTTGAAAAACTCTACACCAAAGCAATGTTTCAAATGTTCTTTGATGTGACCTCAGACACTGAATTGACCCTAAGAGTTCTGGAGGAATCACTTCAATATCCTCAACTGCATAAGCCTTATAGATAAGGCTTGGCAGGGAGTTACTTCCAGGACTTTGAACTCTGCTTGGAGAAAATTGTGGCCAGAATGTGTCCAACAGAAGGATTTTGAAGGGTTTGAGGCTGACCCTGAAAACCCTACACCTGTTGTGGAATCTACTGTGGCACTGGGGAATTCCATGGGGTTGGATGCGAGTGGCGAGGATGTGGAAGAGTTGGTGGAGGACCACAGTGAAGAGCTAACCAATGAAGAGCTACAAGAGCTTCATCTGCAAGAGCAACAGACCACAGCTGAGGAAACTGCGTGATAAGTGTATTGTAACTTATAATTTTAAGATTTTGCTTTTTACTAATATAACTAGTAAATAAATTTATACAGTTGTAACATGCCAAACAAATCATCCAGCCAATTACTTTTAAAGAAATTCAACTCAAAAGGAGAATTATGTTAAAACAGAATACAACTCACCACTCTTCAAAGAGTACAGGATCACTGAGAACCCTGGACACAATACGGGCACCATGGCAAGGTGGGTTGGAATAAGAACCTCGTACCAGCAGTGTTAGCTGAGATCTTGTTGCAGTAATACAGGATGGGTCCTTCACCACAACCACAAGATTGCCAATACGTTCATCTGTCAGGAAAATAAGCCACTGAGAAACTTGCAAATTTACAAGACTATGTATTTCTACAGTCATTTGTAAATTGAAATTACAGTGTTAGTGTATTTTAAGATCTTAATAATGAACATTGTCCTTCTCTCCACTGTACCTGCTTTTAAGTAATTTACAGAAATGCTTTAAATACAGTCAAAGAACAGATATACTGGACTGGTTAGGCTTGCTAATGCAAGTAGCATTAATGAAATTTACCTATAATTTGCAGTAGCAGTGTTAAGGTACACATTCCACATAAGAGCCTGCACAGCAAATTTTTAATGTTTGGAGACAGTTTAAACCTAGGTAGTATTATTATTACAATAAAAAAGAAGCGCTAAACCACAAGGGCTATACAGCGCTGCAGTGCAGGAAGGAAGCAAGGGTATCAGGTGGTAAAATGCAGATGGACGAGTAATAGGTTACGGAGAACAGCAGGGCAGTGGATGGTGAAAGGGTAGAGGGCAGCAAGAGATTGAGGTAGAAAGGGCTGAGAGGAGTGCAAAAGGTATCAGAGTTTGTGGAGTAAATTAGTTGTTGTTAAGAAGTCAATGAGTGTGTCAGGATTAAAGGAGGGTCCATCAGCAAGAAGGGAAGGTAAAGAGAGAGTAGTAGAGCGGAGACGACGATGGAGGTAAATTCTGCGTGCTCGTTGATAGAGAGGGCAGTCTAACAGAATGTGGCTAATCGATACTGGAACTTAACACTTCTCACAGAGAGGAACAGGGTGCCTCTCCACGAGATACCCATGAGTAAGACGAGTGTGGCCAATGCGAAGGCGAGAGAGAGGCGTCTCCCAACCTCGGCACTGATAAGAAGATGGCAAGTAACCTATGCTCGGTTTAACAGAATAAAGTTTGTTACAGAGTAGAGTTGACCAACGTTGTTGCCAACGGGTGTGAAGGTGGGTAGCTATTACAGCAAAATAGTCCGGAAATGGAACACCTCTATATGAAATTGGTAGGTTATATACTGCTGACCGTGCAGCAGTGTCTGCCTGTACATCAACATGACCAGGGCCCCAACAAAAAACAATATCTTTATGCTTGGTCGAGATACGGCGTAGCCAAAGTTGGATACGGAGAACTAGGGGGTGAGGTGTATCAAATTTCCGTATAGCCTGTAGAGCACTAAGAGAGTGAGACAACCACAAATGATGACACAGGCATAGATGCGATACTAATAAGTGCTGCAAGAATGGCATACAATTCAGCAGTAAAAATGGTAGCCGAAGATAGTAAATGCCCTCGCACGACACTGTCCGGAAACACTGCTGCGAATCCGATGCCGTCAGAAGACAGAGCCATCTGTGTACACTGCGATGGCATGAGAGAGTGGAATTGGTCAAGAAAAAGAGCGGGAAGCCACCGTAGGGAGTTGGGATTTCGAGAAAGGAAGTGAGAAGAACAGCTGGAACTTCTCAGGGGGGGTAGGGAAAAGTGAGATGCTACATGAACATATAAAGGTGGTAACTGAAGGGAAGACAAGAGCGAATGTAGGCGAAGAGAGAAGGGACGGAGCAAACAGGGGCGGCAAACAAAGAATGTCTACTAATATCAGTGACCATTCTATAAATGGAAGGATTGCAGAGATCGTGAGGGCGTATATAGTAGCAAAGGCAATGGGCATCACGGCGATCAGACAAGGATGGAACATTCGCTTCTGCATAGAGGCTCTCAACAGGGGAAGAGCGAAAAGCACCAAGGCATAAACGTAATCCTTGGTGATGGAGGGGGTTAAGGCTAGAGAGAGTGGCAGGAGAGGCCGCTGAATAGATCTGGTCACCATAATCGAGTTTCGATAAAATGAGGGCTGAATGTAGGCAAAGGAGAGTTCGACGATCAGCTCCCATGAAACATGAGCAAGGGTTTTAAGAAGGTTCAGCTGGCTGTGAGAAGCTGCCTTCAGAGAGGTAATGTGGGGTTTCCAGGATAACCTACGGTCAAAGAGAAGGCTTAGAAACCTGACTATCACGTTCAGGGGTACGGGAGCCATAGAGGTACAAAGGATGATCGGAGATGACAGAGCGTCTAGTGAAAGTAATTTGGCGAGTTTTGGTACGGGAAAATTTAAACCCATGAGTGGTGGCCCAATTGGAAACACAGTGGACCGCATGCTGGAGAGAAACTGTAAGGTGGTGACAGTCAGCTCCAGCACAAGCAATAGCGAAGTCATCTACATAGAGTGATGACCAAATATTGGATGGAAGAACAGGCCAAATCATTTATAGGAAGGAGAAAAAGTTGTGTGGTCAGAACACATCCCTGGGGAACACCTTCAGCTTGGACAAAGTCCAGGGAGAGCATATTATTAACCCGAACACGGAAATGTCTGTCAGTTAAGAAGTTCTTAAGGAAGAATGGCAGTGCCTCAAAGGCCTAAGGAGTGGGCCTGGGCCAAAATATTATACCTCCAAGTTGTGTCATATGCCTTCTCAAGGTCAAAAAATATGGCAATAACTGAGTGGTTATTTGCAAAGGCATTACAAACATACGTGTCCAAGCATAGTAAGGGGTCTATGGTAGAACGGCCCTTACAAAAGCCATATTGACTAGCGGAGAGACTGTCGTGTGTCTAAATACCATATTAAACGTCGATTTACCAGACGTTCCATCACTTTGCAAACTGCACTGGTAAGAGCAATGAGACGATAGTGGGAGGTATAATGTCCCGTAGTACCCGGTTTGCGGAAAGGGAGAATAATGGCAGATTTCCACAGCCAGGGAAGAACTTGTGACCAAATAAGATTGAAGAGGTGTACGAGGACTGCAAGGGCTGACTGATGTAAATGTTGTAACATCCGAATATGAATGTAGTCTGGCCCAGCTGCCGATGATTGGCAAGCTGAGTGCGTCGCCTTCAGTTCCTGAAGGCGACAAGGTACATTACAAGATTATTCTTTGAGAGAAGAAAAGTCGAAGGCCGCTAACTCTCTAGCAGACTTTGAGGAAAGAAACGAGGGGCATAGATGGAGCCTGAGAAGTATGGACCAGACGATTACCATTTTCAATGGCAACGTCAAGAGGGTTGGCTATATCAACACCGGCACCCGCAGAACAGGAGTCAGGTCAGGAGAGTATTTACCGCTCAGTTTCCGTACTTTTTTCCAGACTGCACTCAAGAGGAAGAAGAGGTGATGATGGAAACAATCTCGCCAGCAAGTGCTTTTAGTGTCACGGATGACACGGCAAGCGACCGCACGCTTCTGCTTAAAATCAAGAAGTCTCTCAGTGGTTCTATTGTACCGGTACCTGCCCCATGCAGCGTGTTTCAAATGTACTGCACGAGCACAAGCAGGAGACCAAGAAGGCACGCACTTCTGAGATTGCCTGCCCAAGATTTGGGGTATAGAATGAGAAGCTGCGATTAAAACTGAGGACAAGAAGAGGTGTAAAAGCTCATCAATGGAGGACGAAGAAGGAACCTCACTAAAAGCAGTTAGTTGCGAGTAAAGGTCCCACTTTGCTTGATCAAATTGCCAGTGTGGGCTACAAAGAGGTGGCGAATATGAAGAAAGAATGATTGGAAAATGATTGCTGTCATGTAAGTCCGGGAGAATAGACCAGGTGAAGTCTAGTGCAGTGGAGAAAGAGCAGACCGAGAGATCGATGCAAGAGAGTAGGAGTATGAGGATAAAAATGGGTGGGAGTACCTGTATTTGAAACATGGAGGGGGTGAGAAGCAAGAAAAGCCTCCAACTGAATGCCACAGGAATCACAGCGACCCCCCCCCCCCCCCCCCCCCCCCGAGAAAATGATGGGCATTAAAATCGCCAAGTAACAGAAGTGGTGGTGGTAAAGACAAAAAGGCAACATCCGGGATAGATAATGCCCGAGAAGGAGAGAGATACAAAGAACAGATTGTATACCACTTATGCAAGTGGATATGGGCCGCAGTGTAATGCAGTGAAGTACGAACAAATAGCTGATGGTACGGAATATCAGTGCATAGAAGAAGGGCACTTTCATTAAAGGTCCCATCAGAAAAAGGATCCGAAGAATACAATAAATTATAGCCTGAGATGGGACAGATAACAGCGGAGTGTAATTTTGGTTCTTGTCAGCAAACACAAACAGAGGAAAACCGGGAGAGCAACATCTGAAGTTTACCCCTGAGGCCGCGGATATTCCACTGTAAATAGGCCATGATCGGCAATGATAAAGATACCAGAAATCCACAGGTAAGGGTACCTACGGACAAGAGGGGTTAGAAAAGTCCACGTGGTGGCAGCGGAAAACGTTCAAGTAGCAAAGGAACGGCGCGCTGCGAAGAAAGGAATTGAGCAGATGGAGGGGAGGAACGAGAAGGAACAGGGGGTGGATCAGTGTCTATTGATGGTTTGGTTTCTGCAATATATTCCGAGATAGCTTCAAGTGTTTCGCAATTCAAAGACGTTGTATGGGAGACAATACTGGAGATAGGAGGAGGAGGGCGAGTAAAGATTGGGATAGTAATGAACTGTACCAAAATAGAGGGGGGACAAAAGGGTGGAGGGAACTGGAGAAGTGTGGGAGGGGACTGAAGAGGCAGAAACTTGGGAGGTGGTATAAGAGGAAAAAACTTGGAAGATGACAGGAGAGGAAGGCACAGCACGAGGAGGGTGAACCTCCACACTTGTAACAGAGCCAGTGAGAGGGAAAGAACCAGGTACAGAGACTGGAAAGGTAAAATGTGGAGGTGGAAGAAGGAAAGGAGGTGTTAAAGGAGATTTGAGCAATGGGGATTTTTGGGACTTCTGAGAAGTAGAGGGGCAACTGGGAGGAGGTTTGGGCTTGTGAGGGAGAACACGAAGAAGTGAGAACAGACTGAGGTGTTGAAGTAGGGATTTCTGAGCCCAGGACAGCAAAAGAATTAGAGACAGGAGTGACTATGGGAGGGGTAACCACAGAGGAGGCTGCAGATGGGGACTCCAGAAGTGGGGAGACGTTTAGAAACACGAGAATGAAAAATACGGGGTAGTCTCCCTTGGAGGCGTAGATGAGAAACTGCCATAGCATAAGAGAGACCTTCTGCCTCTTTGAGGCAACGGACTTCTTGCTCATTTAAGTAGACCTGGCAATGGCGAGAGTAAGAAGGGCGAGCCTCATGACAATTAAGGCAAGAGGGAGGTCAACTACAAGATGTATTGGAATGGTCATCGGCACCACAGACTGGGCATTTGGCTATAGATCTGCAATATTTCGCTGGGTGACCAAATCACCAGCAATTTCTACGCTGTTGCGGTGTAGGGATCACCTTTCGAACTTGTAACCAATGTCCTGCTACATTAACAGAGGATGGGAGTTTACGGCTGTTGAAAGTTAATTGAACCACACTGCAAGGGTATCATCTCTGCCCGCAGACAGGAAGGACATAAGTGTCTACTTTGAGGATTGGGAGATCTTGGAGTTCCAGCTGTTCGAGAATGTCATTGCCACATGTCTGGAAATTCTGTTGGACTATGGTATAGGGCAGAATGACAGTACCATTACAAGAATTGAGTGAATGATGTTTTTCAATAGTGACAGGAATAGTATCGATGTGTGAAAGAAAAAGATCACGAGCTTAGGCAGCATTCTGGACAGTGATGATGCGTGTACCGCTCGAGAGCATGAAAGGAAATATCTCTACCAATATGGCATAGGAGCACCTTGCCAATACTATGGTCAGAAAGATAGGTAATAGAAGAAGTTGGTTGTAAAGTAAAGAATTTAGTCCATTGTGCATTCCGAAACTGAGCATGGAAAGGGAGTGCATGATGTTCGTCTTTTCCGAGTAGAACGAAAAGGTGGCGAAGAAGTATCGTCAGGCAATTGTTGCTGGCGTTTAGGAGTGGGACCAAAGTTGGTCCGACGTGGGATGAGCTGGTGATTCAAAAACTGCCGCACCGTAGAGAGAGACCGGAGGCATAGTCAAAGGAGAGAGCGGAGGTCAGACAAATCGAAGGAGTCAGTTGAAACCCCGGTACCTGAAGCGAATGATGAAACAGCACCAGCAAGAGGTGCAGGGGCATTAGAAGTGTCCGAAGAGTGGTCAAAACGAAGGAGGGTCAGAATGGGGTGCAGTATCAAGAAAGGGCCCAGAGGTAGCAGGGTCATGGATTGGGTCCTCCATGGTTAGGTTACTTTTTTTTGTTTTTAAGGAAAAAAATAAAAGGGGGGAACGGGGAGGAATAGTTCCTAAGAGGAATGAAAGGGCCAGAAATCTCCCTCCACGCCCAAGAGGACCTCAGCACCGCAAGTAGCACAGATGCGGCATGGAACCCGTACCATACCCTACCCTTCATGCCAGTAAACCAGCAATCCAGGATAGCACCCTCACGTGTGCCGAGCTACCTCGGTGGACAAAAGAGAGGGCAGCCAGATATCTGGCACAAAGCATACCTCCTTTGGCCACCACCAGAATCCGAAAGGCGGCCTCCAGAGATACACCCGTTGCCCAAAAGACACCCAAAGCCACCCCCCGGGAGACCGGAGAGGGATCGGGACATCTCCAGGCGATCCAGATTCCACGGCAAACTACACCACCGCCAAGAACCTCAAAGAAATGGGATGGACCCCGGTACCCTTCCCCTACCTAGGAACTAGTGTGCCTGTGGGAAGAATCCCAAAGGCCAAAAAAGAGAGGGAATAAGGGAGAGGCAGGGAGGAGGAGGAAAGGAAAAAGGGAGGATAGGATAGGGAAGGGAGGATTGGGGGGTAATTAGGTTCGGTCTAAGGTTATATTTTACAAATAGTATACTGTGAAGAAAAAATAAAGGTAAAAACAGGTTACTGGATCACTTTGAAAAGATCGAAGTATTGCAAGTGTATACTACTGCCAACCCTCACTCGAGGAAACAACTGCCTACAGATAAAACTAAGAATTTAATGTGGAATTTCTCAAATAACTAAAGTAGTTCATTACAGAAACAGAGGATAAGGTGGTTTAAAATCAAACTAGCAATAGTACAACAGGTTAAGATGAATACTTTGCAATTGTACAGAGTACCATACATAATGGGGCTGTCAATACAAGGACCATAAAAGACTGGTAGGCAGCCATCATGATGACAAAGTTAAGGGATAAAAATATACAAAACATTTTCATAACAGGACCTGAATACAATTAAATAGTCTGCTGGAAAGCTTTTCTCTAATGGCTGTCTTCTCAGAGGAAGTTTCTATTGTGAAGGATCAAATGATAGTTGATAGAAACTGTCCAAGGAGGTACTGTCAAGCAAGTAAACCATACCCCCGGCCGGGATTGAACCCGCGGTCATAGAGTCTCAAAACTCCAGCCCGTCGCGCTAGCCACTAGACCAGCTAGCCACAATAAGATTCATCCAACTAGGTATATTTCTACACCATAGGAAAGTTAGCACAGGCACCTCTGTGACCACAAATGCAAGTTTTTACAGACGAATCTCCAGCTAGCGTGGCCGTGACGAACTCTAGCTCAAGTCCCTTCACTGCCGTCAACATGACTTAAGAAATCGTAATGACACGATTGCAAATAAACCATACCCCCGGCCGGGATTGAACCCGCGGTCATAGAGTCTCAAAACTCCAGCCCGTCGCGCTAGCCACTAGACCAGCTAGCCACAATAAGATTCATCCAACTTTCCTATGGTGTAGAAATATACCTAGTTGGATGAATCTTATTGTGGCTAGCTGGTCTAGTGGCTAGCGCGACGGGCTGGAGTTTTGAGACTCTATGACCGCGGGTTCAATCCCGGCCGGGGGTATGGTTTATTTGCAATCGTGTCATTACGATTTCTTAAGTCATGTTGACGGCAGTGAAGGGACTTGAGCTAGAGTTCGTCACGGCCACGCTAGCTGGAGATTCGTCTGTAAAAACTTGCATTTGTGGTCACAGAGGTGCCTGTGCTAACTTTCCTATGGTGTAGAAATATACCTAGTTGGATGAATCTTATTGTGGCTAGCTGGTCTAGTGGCTAGCGCGACGGGCTGGAGTTTTGAGACTATGACCGCGGGTTCAATCCCGGCCGGGGGTATGGTTTATTTGCAATCGTGTCATTACGATTTCTTAAGTCAAGTCAAGCAAGTGATGAAACTTGAATCAGCTGAATGTCTTATTTGTTTACAAAGTCCCAGTTTTCACTGTCTCCTGAATATTATGATCTTAGGCTAACCTTAACTTCCACTAGACATTTTCCTGTGTACTTCTTCAATGTTCCTCAAATCTAACTTCGTTATTATCCTTCTCTGGTAAGCTAGGAGATTCAGAACATAAAATGTCAGGAGCATGGGATTTGTTACCACTATTTAATAAGGACTACATAGGAAAATGGAAAAGAATTCTTCCTCTAAGTCATGAGTGTCATAAGAGGCGACTAAAATGCAGAGAGCAAGGGGCTAGTAACACCTTCTCCTGTATAAATACTAAATTTAAAGACTAAGGTCATCCTACCTTGGTGGGATACAACCAGTGTTAAAAAAAAAAATTAACAAGAATATAGAACATGACTGCTAGAGTAACAGTCAATGTTGAAAATTTCTTCTTTCTAGGTCTAGTACTGATGGTGCATTTCCTTTTTTTCACCCAAGTATTTCTTTAATATACTTGAACTCAAAACTGTTATGTCTAGGTAATTGGCTGACCATTTGCTAACCATTCCATTTTTTAAATGGCCAAAATCCCTGATTACAATTACTTTGCTTTTCCTAGTCACTGTTTTATAAGCATATTATGACGTACCTCACTATCCTGTCATGCTTCTTTCTCCCATGTATTCTTATATAGGCATTTAACTTTTTATTTTTTTTTTATTTTACTCTTCTCCACACTGAGCAAATTTCCTCAAATGTTACCTCATTTAGGAAATTAAAGTGGAAATATTCAATTATAAGAATAAATTCACCGACAACAATTACAAAAAGCAAATGTACGTAAAAATGAATATACAAACATCAGAATAAAGTGGTGTTTGCTTTTCTATGGGTGTGAAGCATGTACCTCAATGTTGTAACAGATGATAGAAATAGTAGAGTAAATATTTAATCTGATATCTGTGTGGTGCAGTTATGCAATGAGTAAGGAATTTATTGTAATCAAGTGGAAGTGCTAAACCTGTATGGTTCATGCAGTACTTCAGAAATGGAAGGCCTTAAGGTTCAATCCAAAGAAGGGAAGGATGAGTCTAGTTCCCTGGATTAATATCCCTTCATTGGAATCAAGGCACCGCCCTGGAGGGGAATATTAGAACTGCATGGCAGTATGAAAAGTTTAATTTGCAGAGGGTTAGTGGTTGTTTAGCTATGAAAGCAGCAAGATAAATTGAAAGAATGGGTGTATAAACAAGAGATGAATGAAAAGTGATGTCGGGGACAACAGTTGGAGTGATGGGAAAGGTGCATCTAGAAACAGGAACTTGAGCTTTCAGGATAATTATAAAAATATACAAGACTGGAGTAGAAATAAAATGTCTGAGATACAGCATGTTAATGGATTCCAATGTAATATTTTATCTGCAAAGGGACTCCAAGAAACAGTTAATAAGACGGTTTTAAAAGCTGGGAAGTAGTTTGAACTCAAGAGGAAGCCGTGTAAACTATGAAGACTACTGTACTCACTATACAAGCCAAAGTTCTTTGAGAAGGATTGGCTGCTCATCATCTCAAAACCACGACTGGCAAAGTACCGCACTGCCCATGCATCACTGTCTAGGTCGCCTGATGCAAAACCTTGGTAGGCAGAGTCAAACAAGGGAAATAGCTTCCTTTCTTCAACTACATCAGCTATCCTCTTCCACTGATCCTAAAATGTTAAAATATGTATTTTATACATACGTGTGTGTGTGTATATATAATATATATATATATATATATATATATATATATATATATATATATATATATATATATATATATATTATATATATATATATAATATATATATATATAATATATATATATATAATATATATATATATATATATATATATATATATATATATATATATATATATATAATATATATATATTATATATATATATATATATATATATATATAATATTTTATATTTATTATTATTTTTTTTTATTATCACACTGGCCGATTCCCACCAAGGCAGGGTGGCCCGAAAAAGAAAAACTTTCACCATCATTCACTCCATCACTGTCTTGCCAGAAGGGTGCTTTACACTACAGTTTTTAAACTGCAACATTAAGACCCCTCCTTCAGAGTGCAGGCACTGTACTTCCCATCTCCAGGACTAAGTCCGGCCTGCCGGTTTCCCTGAATCCCTTCATAAATGTTACTTTGCTCACACTCCAACAGCACGTCAAGTATTAAAAACCATTTGTCTCCATTCACCCCTATCAAACACGCTCACGCATGCCTGCTGGAAGTCCAAGCCCCTCGCACACAAAACCTCCTTTACCCCCTCCCTCCAACCTTTCCTAGGCCGACCCCTACCCCGCCTTCCTTCCACTACAGACTGATACACTCTTGAAGTCATTCTGTTTCGCTCCATTCTCTCTACATGTCCGAACCACCTCAACAACCCTTCCTCAGCCCTCTGGACAACAGTTTTGGTAATCCCGCACCTCCTCCTAACTTCCAAACTACGAATTCTCTGCATTATATTCACACCACACATTGCCCTCAGACATGACATCTCCACTGCCTCCAGCCTTCTCCTCGCTGCAACATTCATCACCCACGCTTCACACCCATATAAGAGCATTGGTAAAACTATACTCTCATACAGTCCCCTCTTTGCCAAGGACAAAGTTCTTTATCTCCACAGACCCCTAAGTGCACCACTCACTCTTTTTCCCTCATCAATTCTATGATTCACCTCATCTTTCATAGACCCATCCGCTGACACGTCCACTCCCAAGTATTTGAATACGTTCACCTCCTCCATACTCTCTCCCTCCAATCTGATATCCAATCTTTCATCACCTAATCTTTTCGTTATCCTCATAACCTTACTCTTTCCTGTATTCACCTTTAATTTTCTTCTTTTGCACACCCTACCAAATTCATCCACCAATCTCTGCAACTTCTCTTCAGAATCTCCCAAGAGCACAGTGTCATCAGCAAAGAGCAGCTGTGACAACTCCCACTTTGTGTGTGATTCTTTATCTTTTAACTCCATGCCTCTTGCCAAGACCCTCGCATTTACTTCTCTTACAACCCCATCTATAAATATATTAAACACCATGGTGACATCACACATCCTTGTCTAAGGCCTACTTTTACTGGGAAAAAATTTCCCTCTTTCCTACATACTCTAACTTGAGCCTCACTATCCTCGTAAAAACTCTTCACTGCTTTCAGTAACCTACCTCCTACACCATACACTTGCAACATCTGCCACATTGCCCCCCTATCCACCCTGTCATACGCCTTTTCCAAATCCATAAATGCCACAAAGACCTCTTTAGCCTTATCCAAATACTGTTCACTTACATGTTTCACTGTAAACACCTGGTCCACACACCCCCTACCTTTCCTAAAGCCTCCTTGTTCATCTGCTATCCTATTCTCCGTCTTACTCATTTATTTATTTATTTATTTATATATACATATATACATATATATACACACACACACACACACGTTTCTCCTCACTGGTTTTGCTGTAGGCAAATTCCCTTTTATTCAATCACCCATTTCTATCAGTAATTCACTAAGCAGTATAAATGTGCTTATGCAATCGCCCAAGCTGTCACTATCTTAGCCATATCTTCTTTGGTATCACTAAATTGACATTTATTAAAAACAAGAGAAGACAAAAAACAGATTTGGTCAAGGAAAATACAGTGAACATATTCTGAATGGAATTTTTTTTTTTTAAGCATCTTTCACACAGTCTTAAGAAAATAACATGCAGCAGATGAAGCTGGGTTGATCTGAAAGTTGGGAAGATGGGTTAAGGGAGTAGGAAAGTAGTAGGGAGACATGTATTTACAGTCATAACAAGTGCACTTCAATCCAAAGACAGGCTGGTTAATTAGTGGCAAGACGTAGGAGGAAATGTAAAAGGTGGAAGAAGAGTACTGAATTTTATATGTAATTTTTCTCATTTGTTTCTTGAGCAATTACATTTAATTTTAGGTACATAAATGACCGTTTGGTACACTTGTGATAAGCTAATTTCTGGTAAAATCAAGAAATGTGGAATTTGCAGTCTCAAAGCAAATCTGTTTGCTGTCTGGGTTTGTTTTACATGAATTCTCTTTAATGGGCCAGAAATGTATTTAATGCATAAGGCAAGAGACACCTGTATTTCTAAACAATTACAAGCAGCACACTATACAGGAATTATGAGATACAAAACTTGTGCTTTGGTAACACCTACCTCTATTACATCTGATTATGAAAATTTAGGATAAGAATATAAAACTAATTGTATGCAAAGCTCCAATTAATATTTTACCATTTTACTTAGCAAGATCCATTCTAAAACAGTTTAAATATATCTGTAATTCTGGTTCAATCTTAAAATGCCAAGAAATGCCCATTTACGTGACCACTATGATTACGCTGAACATAAAACCTGGACCACTACTTCCATGGCTAGCAAACTGCATCTCCACTAACAAGCCCTGCTCATACCCAAGTAAACACTACTACATAGCACCGCTTCTTGCTCATCTCTAGTTCCCCTACACAAGTCTCCTTCCTAATGTATCTATTAGACTTTAAAGCCCCTGATGGGCAAAATGTTTCAAAGATACCCATGAATCATACTTATCTAATTCACCAAAACTATATACAGGAAGGCCCCACTTATACGGCTGGTTAGGTTCCAGGCTACCGCCGTAAAGTGGAACACCCTTTTTTTCCACTTACAAATGCATACAAACACTAGATAACAAGTTTACACTAACATATATTAAGTTAGCAATAGAACCAGGCATCAAAAAACAATAAAAAAGTACAATACACACATAGTGCACTCATTACTTACCTTAAAATATTTTTAGTCTTAATCTAGGGTGAGACAAGTAGTATTTATTGTAAGAAATCAAGTGTGGTATGTATGGTAGTCAGCCAGGCTACCATACCAGGCCACCCCACCCACACATACAATTCTATGATATTTAAGCATCCCAGAGTGATAAAATGTATGTACAGTTCACTCATTACTTACCTTAAAATATAGGGTGAGATGAGTAGTATTTATTGTAAAAAATCAAGTGTGGTATGTATGGTAGTCAGCCGGGCTACCATACCAGGCCAACCCACCTACACATAATATTCTATTACATTTAAGCATCCCAGAGCGATAAAATGTATATACAGTTCACTCATTACTTACCTTAAAATATTTGTATTCTTAATGTAGGGTCAGGAGTAAGTAAATGAGATAAAACGAATAAATGAGAGAGAAAGAATGAGTGCATGAGAGAGGACAGGCGCAGAGTTATGTAAACAAACCAGGCGAAAGTAAGTTTTGTAAACGAAGTGTACACGTCTGGTTTGTGTACAAGTTACATTGTGTACAGGTTGTCTCTACATTGATACGGTAGAATAAATAAAGAAGAACACTCCCATTCTCGTGTAACATCATTTTGAGAAGAAATGATGCTCTGAGTGAAGGCAATGGAAATAAGTCACTGACTTTTTTGGGTTATCCTAGGTTCTCTACACATATGTTATGTATGATAATCTATGTAACTGTATTTGTGTATACCTGAATAAACTTACATACATACGAAAGGAATAATTTTCTACAGTTACCCCCAGTAACACATTTTCTCTTATGTTAGATTAGAGAAAATGTTATTCTTGGCATCACTTGTACAAGTTATCTGGCTACCACATCTCATATTTATGTTTATTTATTCTATTGTAGGGTGTATTTATCATCTTTTTATGTTATGTATCGTGTTTATTATATAATTTTGAAAAAAATATCATGGATTAATGAAAATGTGTATATTAACGTAATATACAACATTTAATGAGACTCGGTGATTATTATTATTATTAATTAGCATTTCTAATATGGCGTCACTTGTGCAAGTCGTCTGCTACCACATCTCATATTTATGTTTATTTATTCTATTGTGGGGTGTATTTATCATCTTTTTATGTTATGTATCATGTTTATTATATAATTTTGAAAAAATATCATAGATGGATTAATGAAAATGTGTATTTAACGTAATATACGACATTTAAATGAGACTCGATGATTATCATCATTACTAATATGACGTCTGGAGACATAAGACACTCTTACTGATTTTTATGTGTACCTGCACGCCAGCACAGTATGTAAGTTTATTTAAGTACAGGTATACATAAGTATAATTATCAGAGTATATATAAAATATGAAATAACTTTTAAAAACATTTGAAATTTTGGAGTTTCCAGACAAAATGGAGAGACTTAGTGCTTACTGAGCTCACGAAGAATGTAAACAAACAGGGTGGGGCGCAGTGACCGTATTAGAAAGTCAGGTGGGGGGAGCCGTATAGCGAGTTTTGGTCATAATTTGAAATGACCGTATTAGTGGAACGCCGTAAAGCGGGGCCCTGCTGTACTTATGATTTAGTTATATTGGAACATACAAACTCATAATTGTAAAATCATTTATGCATAGGGTTTTATGAATTCTCCAGTCCTTCAGAAGCAACTAATCTCTGAGTGAGGCTAATCAAGTCTCAGGGGTGAAAAATAGAAGGTGCTACATGGGCACCTGAAAAACAAGATCCAGTATTGCACTACATAGGTGTTATGAAAGTGGTGTTGGATTAAATATAGACCAAAGATCACTCTGGTATCCATTTCTAT